GCCCGCAGTTCGCCGCGCCTGGGCCTCAGCTGCCGCCGCCTCCGCCGCCCGGCCCGCGCCTCCTCGCGCCAGTCGCTCTCCGCTACCATGTGCGAGCGGACCTTGCGCACGGTCATGCCTGCCGACTTCGTCTGCTTCCACGAGTGGTACCGGAGGTGCCGTCTGGCATCCTTCACCTCGAGTGCTTTCGCCGTCAGCTTCGCGCGTGCACCCGTGTCTTTGGAGTCGCTGCGCACGTCCAGCGGGGCCGAGGAGTGGCTCGTCGGCCTGTAGCAGACGAAGCCCTCTCCGTTCCTTGCCTGCTGCCGAGGATCCTGCCGCACATGTCGGGGACCCGAGGGCCTTGCTGCCGAGGGCCCCTCGCACTCGGCGGGGACACTTCCGCACATGCTGCCCAGGACCCTGCCCTCCGCGTGGATCATCACGCTTGGCCAGCTTACCTGCCGTAGCGCGTCCTCCTCCTCCTCCTCCTCCTCCTCCTCCTCCTCCTCCTCCTCCTCCTCCTCCTCCTCCTCCTCCTCCTCCTCCTCCTAGGTGGTTTCGCGCGGGCCCCGCAGGCATTTTGCCCCCGGCGCGGGCGCCCGCCGAGCGATAGCCCCCAGCCCCACGGAGGGGCGCCGCAGCGCGGCAGCAGCGCGCTCCCGCTCGCCAGCTTGGCACCGCAGAGAGCGGCGCCAAAGAGGAGAAGCGAGGAGGCGCTTGAGGCTGGAGCGCGACAGGAAGCTGCTGGACGACCACCACGGCAGCGCCGCTCCCAGGATGGGCGGCCGCGGAAGTGGAGGTATGACTGGCGGCAAGGGGACGAAGGCGCAGCAGATGAAGGACCAGTACTCGATCTGCAAACACTGCAACGAGTGGTGGTACCACACCAAGCTGTGCAACATGGACTGGACATGCACCTGCAACATGAAGATCGCCAAGCCGCAGTATGTCAGGCAGCTGGAGTGGGACGAGGAGAGCAACTGGAACGGCAACGCCGACAAGAAGCTCGTCCACAAAAGCGGCAAGAACAAGGGCTACGGCAAGGGCGGCAAAGGAGGTTCAGGATGGAAAGGAAAAGGAGGCAAAGCAGCGGAGACATTCGCCACAGCGATGAGCATGATGACGAATTCGCTGCAGACCATGGGCATACAGAACGGAGACCAACTCGTACGGCAGCTGAATGGAATGGCGAGCCAGGTGGCAGCGGCGGCAGCACCTCCACCAGAAAGGAAGCCAAAAGCGGCGCGCCTGGCCGAGGCGGCAACCAGACTGCAGAAGGCGACGAGAAACTACGAGTGGACAAAGGAGGAGCTAAACAAGGCAGGAGAAGATGGCAAAGTTCAAAGCAGAAGTACATCAGCATGCAGCACTGGTGGTCGACATAGAAGTGGAAATCGAAGGCATTCAAGCAGAAGGTAAGAACGTACCACCGCAGGGAGTACTGGCGCAACTCCTCTCGTCGGACGTGGCAGAGCTAGCGGAAGGTGACTTGCGAGAAGTGGACGAAGCCCTGGGCATCAACGACGAGGACCTGGACGACGAGGGGAAGATGGCGATACAGAAGGCCAAACAAGAGGTGGTCGCACAGCTGAAGGCGAACGCAGCTTCATTCGCGGGCCAGCTGAAGACGCATTTGGAATCGCAAAGGCAAAAGCAGCGGAACAAAGAACGGTGATAACGTAGGCGGCCAAAAAGAGGAAGAGTGACGGAGGCGCAAAAGTGGAGCTGCAGCAGCCAGATCAGGAGCCAAGAGAAGAGATCAAAGAATAAGCCAGGGACGTGGATGACAAAGACGAGATCCTGAAGGCGGCAAGAGCAGCAAGGGCAGATGCAACCAGCTAGGTTGCAGCGCAGGGAGGCGCTCGGAAGCGCGACGACGGCGGCCCCCGTGCGCGCAGCCTGTGCGTCGCCAACATAACGACATGGGGACCGACTGTGCACGCGTGGCTCACGCGCTCGGCGAACCGAAGGGAGTTCGACGCCTACGCGATACAGGAGACACACGTCACAGTCGACAAGATCGAAGACCTTGAAGCAAAGCTGACGAAGGAGGGCGTCAAGGCTTGCTTCACGGGGGCTCGAAGGAGCACGAGATCATCGGCAGGCTCATGTGGGGGAACAGCCAGGCTGATGAAGGGGCATCACCAAGCGACGTTCTTCAGACATGCAGCCAGGGACCAGGTATCTCAGGCAACCGCGAGCACGTTGAAGGAGAAGCAGTGCGACTACGACATGTGCGACTGGACGCCAGTGGCATGGCACATAAAAGGGTTCACATTATTGGTTATTCGTATCCATTTGGACGCAAATTCCCCCCTTCAGGAGGGCATTAATTCAAGGAAGTTATCATCAGCGGCAGCTTTTGCGAAGGCTGCGGACTTGCCGCGGCTCATATGCAGAGATTTCAACCACGCGCCCGAAGAGTTCTGGAGGTCGGGTTGGGCCAGAATTTCGGGAGCGGAGGCAGCGATCACGGTCCCAGAGGGCGACAACACGCGCTTCCTCGGAGAGGCGGAGTCGAATATCGATTTCGCCATCGTGGATTCGAGGGCCGAGAAACTCGCGAAGAGCATCGAGCCCATCCACGACGCACCATGGAAGCCACGCATCGCGCTGAAGATGGAGCTGTACGGACAAGGGGCATCGACGAAGTGCAGGCAGCTGAAGCTCCCGACAGCGTTCCCACACCCACCTAGACCCCAGAAGACACCCAACCCGAACAGCAAGAGGCAACGACAGAAGACAGCGTCACAAGCAAGGCAGCAAGCTGAAGTGGCAGCTGCAGCAGGACACGAGGACCTCACCAACTTCGAGGCAATCGCGGAGAACAGAGAAAGAGACCTGGACTGTGCGAGGTGGGAAGCGTCGGGGCCAGAGGGCTGGAGCAAGCGCCCGAAGATACAGGACGGGATGAAGAATGAAGGGCCCATTGGCGGAGGTCCCTGACGAGCCTAGAGCGCACGGCGCGGACTACGTGACAAACATTGTGGCAGACAGGACCTCGCAACTAACAGAGCGGACCCATACCCTGGGAAACCGGCGGGCTGAACGCGAGGGGGAGGGCCCAGCCCGCGGATGCCATGAGAACCGCGAACGCAGCGAGCGGCAGAGTCGGGGGACCTCGCTTGGGCAAACACCTATTGGAGCAAGAAGTGGATATGATTACCAGGACCAGAACGTGAGGATAGAGCCTCGCGCGAGCAGTGGCCGCAGCAAAGCAGTGGAACACATGCGCAGAGAAGAGGCGGACCCCTTTGATGACATAGCCGAGTATGAGGAAAACGGTGACAGTGGAGAGACAGACACTTTCGAGGAGATGGCACGCTACGAGCGGGACAAGGAAACGGAGTTCCTGGCGACGTACGGCGACTCGAACGACGCGAGGGGCAGCGACACGAATGGGCAGGAGTGGCTATATACGAGCGAGAAGGACCATGAAAGTGATGGTCACTCCCGCTCGCAAGAAGCTAGTAGACCGAACATACTGTCAGGGACATGCAGCGGGGCGACCAAATCACTCAAGGACCGCACGGTGGAGGCAACGCCCAAGATCGATACCGCGGTCATGAACGACGTATGGAAAGCGGCAGCATTCATTCACGCTAGAGACCAAGCAGACGAACCACCACCCTTCATCGCGGAGAGCGCGGCCTACAAGTCGGACCCAGAAGGCGCGAAAGCATTGGCCAGCACGTGCAACAGAACCATGGGTGCACTGGAGACGTTCTACTGCATGCGCTACAAGATCGACTTGGGGGACCGCGAATACTTTTGAGGGAGAGGGAAAGCAACATCGTTCGAGACGGTCAACATACGCGAGAAAGGGGAACGACGGACAAGATACGCAAGTATGAGGGCGGATTGGGGGAGCAGAACGGAGGCGATCCTGAACAAGATGATCAAACACAGACAGAAAGGCAAAGCGGAAAGGCAAATCGACACGCTAGCAAATGCAGCAAGACGTCTGGTATTTGAAGGACTACCAGGAGTTGGCAACGCGACGCCGACGGCGGAGCTACATAGATCAATATGGGCACAGCGCACGAGAGACCTGAGAAGCGTGGACACAGAGATTTTGGAAGGTATGGCGCGGCAGGCGGAGAATGAGAGGCAAGCGGCAGTACAGCGAGACCTACGAGAAGGAGCTCGCACATATGCGAAATGGCTGGCCATGGCAGAAAAAAAGAACCAGGCATACTACACAATATCACGAAACCTCATGTAGGGCACGAGGAAGAAATTGCGACACCAAGCGGAGTGATATGCTGCCCCACAGAGATCGTGGACCTCAAGGCGGAGACGTTCAAGGCCACCTGGACAGACCCTGGCAACCCACACGAGAGACACTGCCAAAACCTCGAGTACCTCAGGAGAGTGGCGCAGCAGGAGGACCCGCAGGCATGGACGAACAATGACCTGGATATCGCGCTGAAGAGAGAACCAGGCAAAGGACAAGGAGTGGACAGGGTCTCATGTAGTGACATACGGCGCCTACCAGAAGAAGGAAGACAAGCTATCGTGGACTTGTTCAATAAGTGCGAGGCGGGAATGATGTGGCCATGGCAATTGCCATGCTCAGTAGTCATGATCACCCCGACGCCAAAGAAAGGAGACAGGGCGTTGGCTCTGCTTCCACAACTGGTAAGATGCTGGGAGCTATTGCACAGACCGAGGGTAAGATCATGGGCGAAAGAACAAGAGCGAAAATGGGACGCGGCGATACAAGGCAATAGTTGTCTACGGGAGGCGCTGAGAAGAGCCATCACGGACGAGCGCATAGACGCGATGGAGATCAACAACAGCAATCTCCTGGCCGACATCGAGAAGTTCTACGACAGCCTCAGACAAGATGGTGTTATCGCAGCGGCATTGGAGCTAGGATTCTCGGCAAGCGTACTTCTCATGCTTATGATCCAGCACTCGTCGGCGCGCGTACTCAGATGTAAAGCGGCTTACTCGCTACCAATCTACGCGGGCAAATCAATGCTCGCAGGATCCAGGCACTCAAATAATGCGGCAAAGACGATTGTATACGCTGTGTTGGCAAGAGTTGCTGGTCTGCATATATGAATGCCCAAGCCTGTGCCGAGAGAGTGGTTCGATGACATCAGCATAAGGGTGACGGGTAGCGACGAAGCACGCATTGATGGCACTGCAAAGACTACGAGGGAACTTCGAGGCGCACTCAAGGCACATGGTCTCAACTTGGCTGATAAACCCTTGCTCTTCTCAACGAACTTCCAGGACCGCAAAAAAGATTCAAAAGAAGCTCGCGGAGGCGAAGATCAACA